CCTCCTCCTTCTCCACCAGCTTCTCCCCCTCCTCCTTCTCCACCAGCTTCTCCCTTCTCTCCCTCCTCCTCCACCAGCTTCCTTCTCCCCTTTCTCCACCAGCTTCTCCCCTCCTCCTTCTCCACCAGCTTCTCCCTTCTCTCCCTCCTCCTCCACCAGCTTCCTTCTCCCCTTTCTCCACCAGCTTCTCCCCTCCTCCTTCTCCACCAGCTTCTCCCTTCTCCCCTTCCTCATTCTTCACTCACTAGCTTCTCCCCCTCCTTCTCCACCAGCTTCTCCCCTCCTCCTTCTCCACCAGCTTCTCCCTTTCCTCATTCTTCACTAGCTTCTCCCTACTCCACCTACTAGTACTACTCTAAACTTCCTCCTCCCTCCCCCTCCCTACACTGCTCCTTCACTACCCTGTACCAGAACTAAATTGTATCCACCCCGGCGTCCAATACGAATTAATGTGGACATTAAATATGAATTGTGTCCACCCCGGCGTCCAATACGAATTAATGTGGACATTAAATATGAATTGTGTCCACCCCGGCGTCCAATACGAATTAATGTGGACATCAAATATGAATTGTGTCCACCCCGGCCTGCGATACTCATACAGGCACGCACGCACCCACACACACCGCACGCCCGCGCACGACGCACGCCCGCGTACACATACGCCAGCGGCCTGCGTTCCATGCACGCCCGCTATTATTTATGCACACCTGTATTTGTTCAAATTCAATGATAGGTTTCATAAAATAATTAAACAGTGATTCAAAGAAATGTGCTGTTTCAACTCAACCGTTCTTGATTCGCCAGGCGTCTGCCTCTGATATCCCTCTGCCGCCAAAAACTGCAGTTTATCAAGAATTTATAGACGGGAGTAAAGTGGCCAAATGGTTACAACTCCGCAAATTTAAATACACCAATTAAGTTCCTTACTTAACTCACCCCAACTTGCGTCTGCTGCCACCAGCTGCCATAACCAAACCTGATAATAAGTTTAGAGCAAGATATCTCAATGCTAATGATCATGGGGGGGGTACATTCCCCTTTTCCCAGCAAAAAACACCCCATATCCCAGTTCCCAGTAAAATAAAATCCCAATTCCCAGTTCCCAGGAAATTATGTAGACATGTTTCAGCAAATTCAATAGTTTAGGTTTTCAAACACTACATAAATACTAATATTTACATACTATTATTTATCTGGGCATAATTAATAAAAAATAAAAAATATTAATAAATTAAATAAATATTAGTGCAGAAATTATAATCCCGATGAATTGACACAATTTTCCCAGATCCCAGACAATTTTAGAGGGTCTTTCCCACGTCCCGATGGACTTCTGTTCCCGAATCACGGAAAATTTATCTGACATTTCCCAGTTCCCAGGTAATTAAAATGGCCAATCCCGCGTCCCGAAAATACCCGTTCCCCCCTCCATCATGGCTAAAAAGTCTCGTTCGACTTCAAATCTTGATCAATCATTATATTACTACTTCTTGTCTTACGATGGGAAAGGCATAACCCAGACGTACCAAGTTTCCCGGTCTCACCGGGATCGTCCCGGTGCGACATGCTGGTCCCGGTATTCCGTTAAGAGTCCAGAAAGTCCCGGTCGTAACATTTTTCAGACATATTTAAAAATTTACATCAGTAAATTACTAAATTTTCCGTGGTTGTTGATGTACTTTTATTCCAGCGAACAATACTTTTTATTTATTACAATTTACCAGTTTCCTTTACTTGCTTGGTTATCACGGGTGTTTTACTTTGTAAAAGACAAACCTAATGCACAAAATGATGTGATTGAGATGTGAAAAAAATGTATATGTATATATACATATAAAATACCAGGAGTTAATAATGACGAATTCATTAGATGTCATTATTAGCTCCTGATAATACATATATATATATTATATATATATTTATTTAATCATATATAATAATAGGAACATATCATAACTGATCTGTTCAGTTTAGAGCTCCTGATAATACAAACATGTATGCGTCTCCTATGTACATTTACGGCAAGCATGATAGCAGCATTCTTGTATCATTCTTTTAAGGCATGAGGGGAGTTGCGTTGGGTACCCTGTATGGCACGCACGGCTCTCACAACGTCACTAGCGTGCTTACACAATCCGATCATTGGGACGCATACGTGCTACTGTGCAGCACCCGTGAGTTGTTCCGCGTGCCTTTGAGGATGCGCTTTCCGGACTCCTTGTCCCTGAGGTACTTGCGCCGATTGTGCAGCGCGTCCGACAGCCGGTGCCAGATGATGCTTTGCGCGCCATGCAGTTTCGGACAGCCGAAGAAGAGAATGTCAAAGAAGCGCTCGCGCGTCTGTGGCGATATGTCGCAGACGAGCGACGGCCGCTCCCACATGTCGACGGCGTGCGCGGCGTCGCGCATCGCATTGTAGAAGTAGCGCTGCGCGAGCGTCGAGCATCCGCGGATCTGCTTCTTCTGCAGCATGTCGTGCGCCGTGTACGGACACGAGCGGTACATCGCGAGGAACTTCTCGCGTGCCTCGTCGCCCCTCGCCGCGCTAGGGGCCGCCGCCGCTGCTGCCGTCACTCGCCACTCCGCCGTGCCGGTGGAGGGCAGCGTCGCGATCGCCTGCGAGTAGACGCTCGTCACGCGCAGGTCCGGTATGCGGCAAGAAGGCGCGACGAGAGGCGCTAAACCTTTGCCGTGGCGGCGACATGCGTGTCACGCTGGTGAGAGGACAAACCATGGCGTGGCAGCTCAGGAGGCGTAGTATGATGACGGAGCGTCATCGTCAGGTCGATGACGTGCACACATTCCTCGGACTTGAACACTGCACACCGGCCTGGTCGTCCGGCTCCATCTGGCTGACGGCTGACTGGCGAACGCGTGTGCGATCGCCTTCCGAAAATGTCAGTTTCAGGAGGCAGACTGCCCGATCGCGAGAGGACGCGTGTACCGACGACGGGGCGGCCCGCAGCGACGGCAGCAGATGTCACGGTAATTTCGCTGGTACACCCGACGGGCAGCACGTTCTTAAGACGCACAGGCAAATGCGCCTAGCGTGGTGGCGAACACCGCTGCTGCGGCAAACTTGCGGCATGCAGCATCGCGAATCGAGGCCAGCCAGGCTTTGGCGAAAAAGCCGAGCCTGAGGTTTCACGATAAACAAACACGTTCCTGCGCTTCTTGCGGTGTGCATCAGGCGACAATTGTTGTTTCGACCGTCTTCTGCTTCACTAGAAAATATTCGTGACGCTTGATGGTTCGATGCTAAAGCGGTCAAGGAATATACTGAATAGAATCTTTAATATCTGCCTTCTTGGGCAGTTGGCATAAAACATAGCCATGCGACACTGAGATTCTGAAAGAGAGAAGTATCCATACTGTACTCTGCGTATTTGATGTTATCAAGAGCTGTTATGCAACTATCATATCAAGCTTGCATGATCACACTGCTCACAACCAATGATATGAAAGTGTCAATGACACTGATAGCTCACCACAACAAACAAGAGCCGCAGAGCGTCTGGGCTCATACTGGGTCTGTGCTAAGCGGTTATGAAACGTACAATTTCAGTCGTGCGTAGTGACACATTTGTTAGCCCGCAGATATGCAGATACGCAGTTGCGTAGCACATACATTGTTAGGACAGAACGACGCTCACTATCTCAGCCGCCCATGCGATTTTGTTATTAATTAAATGATGCTTGCCTTTACAACTTTCGAATTTGTGTCGATGATTCACAAGCTATCTATTTTTATCTATCTATTAAAAGAATCACATTATGAGGCATCGGATTCTCGCAAGTAAATTAGAGGGGGAGGCGGGAGTCCTTCGCCCCACCTCCGCTCCCCAACTGCGTCGCGGCACCGTCCCTCGAGGCCTCGCTCCTCACGCACTGCTACCCACTTCGACTGCCCTTGCTCTCACTCCACCGCCCATTAACATGACCCATTTCCCTCCCCCTGCCTTCGACGCTCACCTCCCCGCCCCTGCCCCCACACCTCGCCATCCGCCTTTGCAACACGGCATTCGCAGCGAACGCTAAATGTACCCCGTATTCACTTCTTGCCATACACACCGTACACGTTTTCGCTAGTCGCCCGTCCTCAATTTACACTATCTCTCTCTTTATCTTAGACTTTGCCTCTCCTCTCTAATTGATATAAAAAAATTTAAAACGCCAGCGATGAAGGCCTTTTACTGCCCCCCAATAATACTTGAAATACCTAATGCGCGCTGGAGTGATAAGCAGTATAGAAAATCAAAATAATATAGTCACGTAGTCTCTAATATTTTCCTAATGATAACAACTATGTCGCTATAACTGGAATATGATACGCACGCGCCATAGCTACATGATATATGTTAAGATTATCAAGATGAAAGTAAAATATTATATATTATATGGTACTAAAGTTATAGTCGATTCCGTTTAAAAAGTCTACATGAGAAATAAAATGCTAATTTAAACTAAAGGGCCTATAGTTGCCGCGAGATGGCGCGTGCAAAGTGTAATCAATATGGCAGATGGCATCACTGCCCCGTCATTCCTGAAATCCTACGAGTAGTTACAGGCTAAAAATCCAAGTAAGTATATTCAGGCAGGTGATAATTCGCATCAGCTGTGAGTTAAACGAGCGTAGCAATTGCAGGTTGCAGGACAACAATTATGATTAGAAGCGTAGCGCCGAGTAGTTTATTGCCTATGCGAGCATTCACTGATTCCATCATCATCAGGGCATTCAGGCCCAGGGGCAGTGGCTATAGACAGACCTGCATTATGAAAGAATGATTTAAGGACGTAAACGCTTGTTCAAGACAAACATTTGCCATGCAATTAAACTGTGCAACTGCTAGTCCGTCACATGCACGACAGGTATGGCGCTGCTAATAAAAGCAAAAGCAGTTCAGTCCTTTGTTAACCAGTGCAACAAATCAATGTTTAACTCTCCTGCTTAGGTCAAAAGGTTATCCGACCACTTATCTCGCATGTCAAGTGAAAGCATATTTGCATGTCCTTCTCAATAAAGCCATAAAAATGCGATAGGTCACCGCTGAAACAAAAAAGTATTTTCAAATCGATCCATCAGAGCATTGTCCCAGAAAAGTCTAAAATCTGCCCTGTGGCCATTGACTCTTTGACGCTGTGACCTCCGCAAATTTCGCAACAGTGATGGGCTTTTCACTACCATGATGCTAATACACCGACTATCCACGAGCCTAGGTCGAGCACGTTTTAGATTTGTGGCCGCATATACTGGCATTATCCGCCATCTTAAGTTAAGAGTGAATGTCTCACCTTCTTTACAGCCTCTTGACGGCTTGACCTTGACCCCCAGCTTCGACAATCGAAAGCTCATTTCGGATAACCGCCCCCGCCGACACGTCGGCGCGAATATCGTGAAACTGTGACGTGCGACGGTTAAGGTCCCCCTAAACGTTGACGACGGACGGACGCTCGACGGACGGGTTGGAGCAGGACCGGACCAGACGATCATAGCGATTCTACAATTGCATCCTGACTATGTCAGATGAGCTAAAAAAGGACACAAATGAGATGAATGAGAAAAAGTCATTTTAATTGAGCAGCCATCGACGTACAATTATAAAACGAAGAAATATATAATCGGAAAACTCCCATTAATAGCTCTGAAATAGATTATGTGTAATTTTTTATGTGAAAAATAAATGTTTGAGATGTGAAAGTCTGAGAATGTGGCAGACGTGATGGCGTTACAACCTACATGATCACCAATTTAACGTTTAAATATATCAGATTAGGCACAGGCTAAAGAGGCGGAGCTCCGATGTGTAACGTGTAAGATAGAGAGGATACGCTTATTCCACTAGCTGCTATAAGTACCACCACGTGACACCATGGGTTCCCTACCCATAGAACACAACTTTTGTCAAAAGGTTTAATATGGTTGCATGCATGGAAGTGTTTACTATGCTATAAGTTTTCTAAGGGCGGTAGCACACGAGCCGATTGGCGCATCGTATATCCAATAATAATTTTAAAAACCAAAAATGAATAGCACAAATTTGTGACGGTAGAAGGCGCTATAGACGCCCTCTTAATATTCTTTAGGCAGATGATGTTCAAAATAAATGAGGTTATGCGCGTTCGCGACATGCTTTTGTAAAACTTACTCTAATATGATGTTTATCGGGCAGGGATAGTATGTGTAATATTATCTCTTATATTTTTGCATAAAGATATTGTCAATGAAAATCTGAGAAAAACGAAGCGCAGACACAGTGTGACACGCGCGAGCGAGAGCTGTTATGCTGTGTCTAATATATATATATGCTATAAATAGATGCCAAAACCTAGCCCCAATTTGCATTAAAAAAATTTTAAATATTGAAAACAGCCCTAGCTGACTTATTCATTCACATAGTACCAAAAAATGATGGAAAAAAAAATCCGTTGAGAGGTGGCCGAACTGACTAATGGCAATTCCCATTTTTGCCAAAAAATTGCCGTGGCTCAAAAGTACGTCAACTGGCGTGCTCCAAAATAGGACGTTCAAACCTCTCCCATAGCAGTAACAACTATATCCAATTTCAAACATGTGGGTCAAACGGTTCCTGAGTTATCGTTGACCGTAGCCAAATGTTGACGGAAAGACGAACGGACGTACGACGGACGACGACCCATGACAATAGCTCAGCTTGACGATGTCAAGGTGAGCTAAAAATGAGACTATTTAAGTAATGAAACTGCATAGATTTAACAAACATTCTACTCGCTTTTCCTGTGATACTCAAATCAGTATAGAAAATCTCTACAAAAATGCCAAAAAGTGAGAAAAGATGTTGCTTTCTCACCTCAAGGAAAGCAGACACCTTTTCTCCCTCGTTGGAAATCTCCCACAACCATCTTTTATCACAAATTATTTGTATTTTACTATATATAGGCTATTGCACTCTTCTTTATTGCGGAGAAATTATTGTATTGTATTGTATGCGTATGCATATTAAATGCACAAGGTTAAATTTCTGCAAATTGTCTATGGGGTTACACCCTGGGATGCAATTTGAGATTTTACATGCCTAAAAATGTGGGTGAATTTAGCACACATGCAGCTACAGTAGAAGTCCAAAAATCCGGATGCCAGAAATGTGGACCACCTAGCAACTGAGAACCCAGACTTTTCGAAAACTATCTTTTCAAGCATTATACACATGCTTTTTTTGTAGTGAAATTTTTTTATGTTTACATTTTTGTCAAGTGTCGACTTTATTTTAAGCTCGTTTTGTTAAATGAAGCATGATCTATTTGCATGATCAAAATTTACCTGTTCTTACCCTTTATAATTCCTCCTTAAATCTGATTTTAAAACTACTGCCCGAGAATCTGGAAAATCCAAAAATCCGGACCAACCCAATCCCGGCCCAGAGCAGTCCCAATTTTCGGACTTGTACTATAGGCCTATGTACAACAGTCAGGCCCGTCTCACCTTCAATGGATCTTCGTCCTTGTTGAGAAATATCCTTGCTGAGAAGGAACTGTGACAGCTGCTGAGGGTTCATGGTTAGGATAAAATTTACATCCATATCCTGACCGGAGTTCCAGAAGCACACTAGCTATATGGGGTGCTAGCATGCAACCCTAATGATTAGAAGCCCTAAACAGAATACAAAATATAATATTATATATATATATATATTGTGTGAGAACACGAAACTGGCTAGTTCTAGCTATATTCACTTATTTGGTCATCTTCGTACAGTATCATATATACCCTGCGTTACGGAAACTCAGGTTACAGAAAATTTCCCAGGTGAAACTAATATATAGAATATAAATATATAGTTATAATAATTATGGAAGATGACAGATTTTGGAATTTGATTAAATTTGAATAGATTTTGATAGAATTTGAGATAGGCACGTACACATACAAGCAATTACCATTGTGGAAACTCCTGTGTATACAACAATTCACGAACTTGAAATGCCGTACATATTATATATATATATTATAGGCCTACTCCGGATATAGTACAATTATTAATGAATTAAGGAACCGTAACGAAGATGTTCACATACGCGCCATATTACCAGGCACCGCATTAATTAGATTAATTAGATTTCAACGCGCTACGACAAAGATCTTTGTCAGCAGTACAACTGCAAAACCTCGGTTGTACCAGGACAGTTAGCCGTCTCAACACTCGCCCCACAACGTAATCCTATCGCTGTACTGCGCTCGCCTTTTGAATTTAATAATATCAAGTAATATGCAGTAGTTAAATATATTCATACCTTGTTTGTTGTGAGTTTTTCTGTAGAAATTGGCACGCAGTGGTTAAAATACTGTGTCTTAACATGGCGGTTAACCTTACCGATAAGGACTGGTTATTTATTACCGTGAATAGATTGTTCTTATCCATCGTTGCTTGCCTCTGTTTGCATTGTAATAGTCCACATCGGAAACCGGTTCCTCTGCGTTGGTGACAGTCTAGAGAACAAATCGGGCGCGGTTTCCAGCAGCGGTCGATAGTTGCTGGCTGTGACGTCACTGGCACTGTGTTAATGATGCTTGCAACTGTTTGGTCCTGTTTAGTTACCAAGCTGTATAACTGGTTTTACCTAGCTGCTGATAAGCGGCAAAACCGGCGTTGGATTTTATGTTTAACATTTCTGCATTAGTAAATTTGCCCACTTGATGGCACTGGGGCTCATAGGGTCTATGTCCCCCAGGGTACTGCCGGAACGTACCCTGGGTACGGTCCGGTATACCGGAACGTACACTGGTAACTATCTGATATGGTTAGGGCTAGGGTTACCAGTTAGGGTTAGGGCTAGGGTTAGGGAGTAGGCGTAGGCGACTCCCTATACTCCATAGTGGAGTAGGCGAGGTACGGTCCGGCATATTAGATAGTACCAGGCTACGTACGTTCCGGCAGTGCTGCCCATGCAAGTACGGCTGCCATGGCGAGAGAATCATGGATGGAATAAAATAAAATAATAAATCTAATGCACGTATATACAAACCAGCCATACTCCGCACGACACACTCTGTATATAGTGTTTTTGGACACATTTAATTACGCTCAATTTATCCTTACTTTTGGAACTTGATTTGATAACCTCATCTACGTCGTCTACTTCCTCGATCTACCTTCATCAGAATCACGTACCGCATCCGTATCATGATCTCGTAGAGTAAAGTATCTTTCCCCAAAAAACTGCATCCCTCAACTATATATACCCTCCTCTGTATACCTTCTATTCTGATGTACCCGTTTTCCATATATATTCTCCTCTCCTATAACCCGCCTTCACTCACTTCTTTGCCTCGATCTTTCTCTTCCTCATTCACCTGCTCCACCTTCAGCATTTTATATATCTCTCTCTCTGTATGTCTACCAGTACCGTTTCAACCTTCTTATTTTCTTAACCCTATTCCAAATGCCCCACTGACATCTATGGAGCATATGCATCATAGACCTTCTTCGCTGCTTTTTCCTTTCGCCTTTAACTTTCTTCACGTCTCCACACTTCCCCTCTTCTTTCTCCCCTCTACTATCTTTCCCCGTATCTTCCCCGTGCCTCTCACTGCTCCTATTCTCTCCTCGCGCCGAGCTCTTTCACTTTCATCCCGTTCTTTACCTCCGCTACCCTATCTAATTTCTTCCCTTTCTTTACCTTCTGTCGTCTATTACATTATCTACCCACTCTTCTACCTGCCACATAGCTAGGTGTACACGCATCTATATGCCGGGCTGTTTCCCCACGTGCTTGTTACCGCTGATATTACCTGAGTTTAGGATTTTATTAACTTTTCCCGATAGATGGCGGGACGATGTCATTAGTCATCTAATTTCCCTAGCGGCGTGATTTGCGTTTCTGACGCACTGTTTTTATTTTGTCCAAACGTGTATCAGTGATCACAGATGATATCGTTATCAAGTTACCATGTATCTATTTTACAAGAATCTCTGTGGTAAAGCGAAATATTTGGAATCGGAAAGTTTTTCAGCAGTGTCGCTGAAATCTGAAATATGCCGGTCAGAGAACATTACTGATCAAGATCATGTAAGTATGCTGCATTGCTGGTATGTTGGTACCACAGGCACTTGAAACGTTTCAATAAAATATAAATGCTAAATAAATACGAAATCTAATACTAGTACAGGGAACAATTTCCAGCCAAAAATTGCATAGCAAATGTGCTATACAAAAAATTTTGCATAGCAATTGGATAAATTTGTATAGCATTTTTTTTCAGACCAATCACAGTGCAAATTTACACCGCAGTGCATGCTTGGCGTGTTATCGTGTCGGCCTGTGACAGGCACAGCTAGCTTAAGCCTAGGACACACTAGCGATCTGCACGCTGCCGGCAGCGTTTAAACAGCGTGCAAGCATTGGCACTCGCCCGCTCGCCAATGTCGACGTGAAAATAATATCTGGCCGCGGCGAGTGAAGCTAAAGCTGACTCGCCCATGTTGGCGAGTAAAAATTATTGTCTAGAACTTTAATCAAATGTTGGTTCCTTACGTTATATATCCAAACATTGATGAAATACAGTTCTAGCGATTGTGAATGCGGCTATCCGACTCCCGACCACGACATCCTCACTTTATATTATCAAAGGCGCCGAAGAAAGCAGCCCGCGAGCAGCGCAGGCCAGCACAGCGTGGCTGTTATACGTGCCTGCGCGGCCGGCATATTGATTGATGTACGGGGCGGGGGAGTGCAGCGCATTGTTTAAAAGTCACCTTGGCCTTGGTGTTAACAAATCAATAAAATCGGCGTAACGTGGGCATTTCATTGACAGGGCAAAGCAGCCCGGAGAATAAAAGTAAATTGTAAACATGTATGTTTCCGTTTACATCTCGCCATGGGCTGCATCGCACAACTGCGATTCATAAAAAAATATGCCGTAGCAAATGGCTGCAAAATACATCGCGAATTGCGATGCGATACCGGAAAATTATTCCTGTAGTACTACAAAATCTTAATGTTTCTATACTCTCTTTCACCTATTATTGCCGACAGTTTCCTGCTTAACATTCGTGTAAATGTTCTATGCACACACACTACCGCCGCCATTGCTCACTGTGCACAGTGACGTGAATATATATAGCAGGTAGGAAAGAGCTCGCACTCCAATCCGCTCGACACTCGGGTGAATTTCACAGTGATTACAGCACAAAGAAACACAACTCTTCTACTCCATCTTTTGTTTCAATTTCAACAACAGTGCATCACTTGTTAGAAATATAGACTGTCTCTGTTCTTAATCAACTCTGTCACGCCGACTATCGCAATAACACTGGCGAAATTCGAGCGTTCGCCTATTCGATTGCGCGGTCAATGTAACGTCTGCAAGATACATGGCTATAGGCGGGCGATTGCATTTTGGGATACACCTCGCTGCTTTGCAACCTCCCGTACGAGCCTCGCCATTGGAGCGTTGCAAAAACATTCCAGCATTGCGGCGCACGAATGACGCAATAGCGCCGCGTAGGTCTGTTCCTGATTCCGGCCAGACATTTACATTGACCGCGCAACCGTTAGCGAATGCTCGAAATTCGCCAGTGTTATTTCGATATCGCGTGACAGAGGTTCGCGCTTAAGACAGCAGGAGCAGTCTTATATTCTAACAAGTGATCACTGTTGTTGAAATGAAACAAAGATGGAGTAGAATGGTTGTGTTTTTGTGCTCTTAATCACTGTGAAATTCACGAGTGTCGAGCGGATTGAGTCGAGCGCTTTCCTACTGCTTATATATATTAACAGTCACTGTGCACAGTGAGCAATGGCGGGCGGTATGTGTGTGTAGGGCTGTCATTGTATCAAATTATTTCGATTCGATTATTGATATTTTTTTTTTTCGATATTTCGATCGCATTCGATCGATTCGATTTAATAATTGTAATAAAACATGAGCGTGAAAGTACAGTAAACTCATGTATTGTGTGTCTACTATGATAACTATGCAATTTATACATCGCTGTGCTTAAATACAACATGCGGCGAAGTATATCATTTATCTGAATTCAACCAGATTGACCTTGGCGTCGCGGCGATGGCGAAGCAGCAGACATGCTCTTTACGGTTAGACAGATTTTATTATAGAGATCAGTGAGACAGGATACGCACCAGCAGACAATAGAACACCACAGTTATTGATTGTCTCTGTATGCAGCGCCCTGGACTACTCTCGATCAATGGCGGCGCCGCGCTCAGTCAAAAATGCTACCGATGCTCCGCTGGCTACATTTTAGCAAAAAAAAAAAAAAAAAAAAAAATCGGATCGCTATTTTTCGATTTATTTCGATTATCGCATATCGCGACGCAAACTCCATCGCGATTTATCGATGAGGTTGGGCATCGATGACAGTCCTATGTGTGCTGCATAGAACATTTACAGCGAATTGACAGGAAACTGTTGGCAATAATAGGTGAAAGAGAGTATAGAAACATTAAGAATTTGTGTAGTACTAGTATTAGATTTCGTATTTATTTAGCCAATTATATTTTATTGAAACGTTTCAAGGCCTGTGGTTGGTACCACTGGCACTACCTTCGCATACGCCATAGCCATAGGGCATAGATTCAAGAAGAATAGATACAATAAATTATAATGTAAGCCAAACCCAGGATAGGGTTATCCTGGGTTTGGGTTACATTATTGTATCTACCACTACCAGTGCCCAGTGGCAGTGTACCGTTCATAACCTAAAAAACCTAGAGCTCTTCTGTGCCCTCCGCCGGCTGCATCTCTTTTTCTGTTACTGTTACATTTAGTGTTTACGTCGTTAGTACCAGTAATACTAGGGCAAAATAGAGAACGACTCCGTGGTGTTACATTATTTTATCTTATTTCAACACAGCACTGAAAATCGTGCGTTCACTGCATTCGTACCGGTAATTCATGGTGATTCAAATATTGTCAAAGTTTCAAATTCGATTGATGCAAATAATTGAAATATTTTCCTGAATAGTTGCACTGCCACTGGAATGGAATATTGAACTGGGATATTGAATGTTGACTGAATTTGTACTGCCACTTGTCAGTGTCACGGCAAAGTAGTGTTAATTATCTACACTACAAGTATTATTATTAATATCGTGCCTATAATAATGTACGGTACGGTCACGTGTCAACTCGCGTCCACCAGCCAACTCGGTCCGTGTGTGCGACGTTGACGCGTCTGGAGATCGCTGAGCTCCGGCTCGTTGGATGAGTTGACCCTCCTGGAGATCGGGCGAGCTCGCCTCGCCGGCTAACTCGTCTACTAACTCTGGTTTCTCGCGAACGATTTGATTTACATTTCTAAAATTTGAGATACATATAAACACATGTCTTAGCTATGGTTTCTGTGCATTTTGAGTTTATTGAAGCACGAATAGTTTAATTAATTAATTACCAGAAATATATCTACGCGCGGTATCGTCATGTAGGCTATATACGCGCGGCTATGGGCAGTAGGAAAGTGTACATAACTCTAAAAATCTGCCGCGAACGATTGAGTTACATTTCTAAAATTCTAGATACATATAAACTCATGTTCTTAGACTATGGTTTCTGTGAATTTGAGTATATTGAAGCATGAATTGTTTTTAATAATTACAGAAATATACGTACGCGCGGTATCGTTATAGGCTAATATAACGCGCGGCTATGGGCAGTAGGAAAGTGTACTATAACTCTAATATCTCCCTCGCGAACGATTTGGATACATTTTCTTAAAATTTTAGATACATATACACACTGTTTAGCTATGGTTTCTGTGAATTTGAGTATATTGAAGCACGACTTACAGTATATATATATATATATATATATATATATATATATTATATATCATATACACACAACTATATCAGGAGTAGATAATAGGGAAGGAGTGTGACATCAATAAACAAGGGAAATTCGTCATTTACTAGCCTTAAAATACCTACGATTTACTACGCGTAACTCATCCAACTTGAGCTCAAATCGTACACAGTACATTCGCCTAGCATTGTTTCCTCGTATACATAAGCAATCCGGAGATACAGACTAAAACGTATGACACGATTATCCATTCTTTGGCCATCAATCCAAGCCGATTGCCCGCTTATATTCAAACAAAAGGCAGCTACTAACACGCTATTGCTAACTCGGCGAGGCATGTGGCTCGCTGGGAGATTAGGCATCAACGCAACACTCGGCGAGATAACCTTTGACTCGGTACACAGCTTCATACCGGCATACCGGCATACAGCTGGCATGCCCCCATGCAGGCACGCCAACCGCAATCAGCAGCAGATCGGGCTCAAATATCCCAGCGAGCCACATTGCCCGCCGAGTTAGCAATAGCGCGTTAGTAGCTGCCTTTTGTTTGAATATAGGCGGGCAATCGGTTCAGATTGATGGCCAAAGAATGGATAATCGTGGCGTACGTTTTAGTCTGTATCTCCGGATTGCTTGTGTATACGACAGGGAATAAAATACACGGGAGCGACGAGCGATTTCGCTCTGGTAAGCTCTAAAATCTCTCTGGTAAGAACAATAACGGGAGCGATCCCCCGAGAGAAAATCGCTCCCGTGGCCTGATAAATTGAAATGTACACAAGTAGGCCCTAGGTACGTACTACATATACGCCAGGAGTTAATGAGATAAAGGTTATCTCCTTAACTCCTGATATACACGGTGCTGGGTTTACACTGCTGATTATATGGCGTTTTTCTTTTTTGACCCGTAGGGTGAGGCGGATACGTATTTTTGCATGTATTACATGCTGCCAGCGTGGCGCCTAAAGCAAAAACGTGCTCCCCCCCTAGAGTGGAGGGACACACCCCTGATTGCTGTTGTATGGTTGACCAATTGGCGAAAAAACGTCCAACTCGCCTGCTCCGAGTTAGGGAAATTAGAACATGTTCTAATCTTCCGGCTCACCGCTATCGATCGGCTAGACGTGCGACTTTTGCATTTACACTGGCGATTGTCAGTTGCCAAACTGCCAAGATCGTTCAATTTGGCAACTCAAAATCGTCAGTGTAAACCCAGCTTATATGTATCCGCTGCAGCTGGCGCTGGCTAGATCAACCCGCTGATGCATAATAAAATACAATTGATAATAAAAGTTATACAACAGAGTGTAGAACTAGAAACTGTTGACACTTTCATTCATATTTAAATTTAACTTGACAATAATTATAATACCAGCTGAATCCAGCTCTTGCCTTGTATTAATCTGCAATGATGTGGTGACAATTGCATATTGACAGGAAACTGTCGGCAATAATAGGTGAAAGAAAGTATAGAAACATTAAGAATTTTGTAGTACTAGTATTAGATTTCGTATTTATTTAGCATTTATATTTTATTGAAACGTTTCAAGTGCCTGTGGTTGGTACCACTGGCACTACCTTCGGCATAGCCATAGCCATAGGCATAGATTCAAGAAGAATAGATACAATAAATTATAATGTAAGCCAAACCCAGGATAGGGGTTATCCTGGGTTTGGGTTACATTATTGTATCTACCACTACCAGTGCCCAGTGGCAGTGTACCGTTCATAACCTAAATAAACCTAGAGCTCTTCTGTGCCCTCCGCCGGCTGCATCTCTTTTTCTGTTACTGTTACATTTAGTGTTACGTCGTTAGTACCAGTAATACTAGGGCAAAATAGAGAACGACTCCGTGGTGTTACATTATTTTATCTATTTCAACACAGCACTGAAAATCGTGCGTTCACTGATTCGTACCGGTAATTCATGGTGATTCAAATATTGGTCAAAGTTTCAAATTCGATTGATGCAAATAATTGAAATATTTTCCTGAATAGTTGCACTGCCACTGGAATGGAATATTGAACTGGGATATTGAATGTTGACTGGAATATTGTACTGCCACTTGTCAGTGTCACGGCAAAGTAGTGTTAATTATCTACACTACAAGTATTATTATTAATATCGTGCCTATAATATGTACGGTACGGTCACGTGTCAACTCGGTCCACCAGCCAACTCGGTCCGTGTGGCGAGTTGACGCGTCTGGAGATCGCTGAGCTCGGCTCGTGGGATGAGTTGACCCTCCTGGAGATCGGCGAGCTCGCCTCGCCGGCTAACTCGTCTACTAACTCTGTTATCTCGCGAACGATTTGAGTTACATTTCTAAAATTTGAGATACATATAAACACATGTCTTAGCTATGGTTTCTGTGAATTTTGAGTTTATTGAAGCACGAATAGTTTAATTAATTTAATTACCAGAAATATATCTACGCGCGGTATCGTCATGTAGGCTAATATACGCGCGGCTATGGGCAGTAGGAAAGTGTACTATAACTCTAATATCTCCCGCGAACGATTTGAGTTACATTTCTAAAATTCTAGATACATATAAACTCATGTCTTAGCTATGGTTTCTGTGAATTTTGAGTATATTAAAGCACATAATATTTTATAAACTCATGTCTTAGCTATGGTTTCTGTGAATTTTGAGTATATTGAAGCACGAATTGTTTAATTAATTACCAGAAATATACGTACGCGCGGTATCGTTATAGGCTAATATACGCGCGGCTATGGGCAGTAGGAAAGTGTACTATAACTCTAATATCTCGCGAACGATTTGAGTTACATTTCTAAAATTTTAGATACATATAAACACATGT